TATAGAATAAAAAAAAAAAAAGTCGTGCGATACATCTGTTTTAAGAGATGGCTGATTTAAATGAAATGAGATGAAGCCATGTTTATGACACGTTTATTCTTTAAATAATCTGATATCCAGTTATATAAACTCTATATAAATCGTGCAATGCCATATTTATTAATGGTGATCAACATATTTTGAAATGGTGTTCTCGCTCAAAGTCTGGATAGACGAATGATGCTATTTTTCCATTATCAATTGATGTAAACCAATCAAATCCAGAATTTTGAATTTTGAAAGGATATTTCGCAATATCCTTTAATAAATTAAAATAAAGGAAAAATTAAGGAGACTAGGATTATCTTTTTTTGCATAAAATATTTGTTGGAACCAGTGATTTTGAATGATTTAAACTTATTTAAGGTACCATAAATGGATCTAATAGCATTATTTCAATTTCATTAAGAGAATCGCAAGAACCGCAATTTAAAAAATTGCTATTAATATTATCGTCAAAAAAAGGAAATGGAAAAATATTGATTAAATTCATTCGCAATAATAATAACGGAGGTGATAAACGGAAGTGATAATATTATCATCATGCTATTATAACTTCATCATTATGCTTTATTTTCATATGCATGCGGTTTTTTTCTTGAATATTAATAATATTAGTAATAAATAATATTAATATTAATAATATTCTCTGTTGGCATTTAAATTGCTCAAATTTAATTGAAAAATTTTTATGAACAATGAAGAGCATTTTTTTTTAAAGCAGAGAGATCGTATGGCAATTTGGTTAATTTGGTTACTTTTTATAGAAGTTCTTTATAAGTTTTCCTCAGAGATTTGAAGAAAGAAAAATAATTACATATTTTCTTAAAAAATTTATGAGATTTAATTCCCCTATATAAAGAAAAATCTCTTTATTCAATGGAATTAGATAATTTTGTTTGACGGACTCCATTTATCACTACAACAAGAGGATTAGTGATTTAAGAATGGAAACGAAGATGAGCCTTTATCACCTTATCACCAAGTAAGGTGATCAATAACATGGTGATAAAATTTTATGCCATATTCCTCTTAACTAATTAAATCTACAAAACAAATATTTCAAAGATATTTTGCATCCATTTGATTTTGATTTTATGCAAGAATTAGTCGAAAATGTTGCAATTTGTCTGGAAAAAACCGAATATCAGATAAAATCAACGAATAAATATAATTATTCTGGGAACTAGGAAAAATTAGAAATTTATAAATAACCAGAAAGTTACAGTAGAAGCAAACGGAGTCTTCAATTTCAGCCACTGGCAATGATATAAGAGTAAGAATCATCCATCAAACTGATTCTGGTGATAAACAAGAATCATGTAGTTGTTCATATAAGTTTTCTCTAGAGAAGAAAAATTTCAGTGGGATTCCCTGGCATATTTGTCCAGTGCGATAAACCAGTCGAGAGCGAATCTAACAGTTATGGTGTGGAAGCATAAAAGAAGAAAGTAATACCAGAAGTATCAGATTGACAGCAGCTTGGAAACGTCGTACCCTGGTTGTAGCCAACGGAAGCAACCTAATCAAAAAAGGTGATGAGAGCTGTTAGAGAAACTACTGTAAAACAAAATATATTGGTAAAATTACCAATTACCAATTATAAAAATTACCAATTTTGGCAAAACAATATCTTTTTTTGCAATGAATTTATATATTGTTTGTATAGTACTGAAAAAAATTCATTTTCAATTTTCATCCGAGCGATTTTCCTTATTAGAGAGAATTTTGGGAAATTTTTATTAAAATTAGAGATTTCCGCTTCTTGTAAGAATAAAAAATTTTACTAAACAAATAAACTATATTTTTTATTAATTATCAAATAATTTTTTAACAAACTGGTGATAAAAATTAATATTGCCATTTTTTCTTTTTCCTGTCAAGGAAGAAATTATTTTGGAATTTTTTCTTCTTCTTCTAACAGTTCTCAGCATTATTGGTTAGGTTGGCTCCACTTGTTACAATGGTAAGAAGTTTCCAAGTTGTGCGATCTGATACCATCGCTGAAGCTTTCCCTTTTCCATCGTCTAAGTTCACCACTATCGCTGGTCCCTCTATACGTTCAAATACGCTCAAAATCTTTTGCTAATTGTTATCAGTCTAGATGTAGACAAGAAGTGCAGTCTGGATTTCAATTAACAATGAAACCCATCGTTAAAAAATGCAGCGGGGAATAATGCTGCAAAATTTGAAATAGTCAGCAAAATTAAAAAAGAGATTCACAAAACGATTGTCCGTGGTATTTTGGTTTTTTTTATTATTTTTTGTTTATTTTGCAAATTTCGTTTATTTGACATTTTCGTATCGGATTAAATTTTCCCTATTTTGCTTTTTTATTTTTTTTAAATAAATTATATTATTAATAAATTTGAAAATTGTAAAGTTTTAATAATTTCAGCGCTATAATTTTTGTCAATTTAAATTTTTTGAATAATTTTTAATTTTTGAAATTTTTTTTCATATTTGTCCAAAATCGATTTTTTAAATTTAGTAAATTTATTTATTTGAACGATTTGATCGCTCTTAGGGCCGCTTTTAATATTTCAGCTTACCTGAGAATTTTCAAAGAGTTCGGTGAAAGCTTCGGATCCATATGTGCTTTTTGGTGAAAGCTTCGGATCCATATGTGCTTTTTGGTGAAAGGTTCGGATCCATATGTGCTTTTTGGTGAAAGCTTCGGATGCATATGTGCTTTTTGGTGAAAGCTTCAGATCCATATGTACTTTTTGGTCTGAATTTTGGATCCCTAATTTTGTACTTCTTAATGAAAATTATTGAATTGTATGAGAATATGATATTTTTAATTTTTTTTATAAAAAATTTGGTAATGCAGATTAGGAAAAGACAGTTGTTATATATTTATATTAAGGGAACATATGTTTATGTAAATTTTTTCCACTGTCCTTAGTTTTATTCAAATTTCGTGGTGAAAGTTTGAAGATTATTGCTGTGATTCGAGTGCATCCCAGTTTTGCAGACGATAGTTTTCCATTATCTATTATCTAATAGTTTAATGAAAAGTATTCCCCAAATTTCTCATTTATTCGTTTGATATTTTCTAAATTTTATCATAATTTTCCTCTTTGTTTAAGAAGAAATATATTATTTGACCATTTTTTATCGAATCTTTATGCGTAGATTGGCTATAATGAAATCCATTTGCAAAAATTTTGATTTTTTATTTTTATTATTTTATTTCGAATTTATAATTTTATTTCGAATTTTATTTTTTGTTTTGATTTATTATAATTTTTAAAAAATTTTTGATTTTTTTTCGAGAATTCTTGAGAAAATCATTTGAAAAATCATTTGAATTGTCCTAAAATATTTGCAATTTTCAATGATTTTTTAATTTTTCTTCCAGAAATTATTTCTTTTTAGTTTTTTTTATTATAATTTTTTTTTTAAATAGCAGAAAGACAAAAACTTTTTATGTGTCACAGAAGAAAATTAGAATTAAGTGGAAAATATGGAAAATTATGAATTTCTGATTCATTTTAAATAAAATTTTTTGAGAAAAAATATTTTGATTTAAATTAGCATTAGAAATTTATTTCGATTAGCCATAAGCCGTCCTTATATTTTTATTTTCTCAAAAAAATTTATTCACCTATATGGTTTTAATGGTTTTTAAAAAATTATTAAATAGTCGGAAATGATGGTTTGTTTTTATAAGATTAGTGTTTTCACAAAATTATTAATTAATTATTTAACCTTTAAGATTTGCTGATCATATTCCAATGATGAAGATTGCATTCCATTCACATCATTTTTTATTCTTGAGCTATAGCATATTTTGCTTTTCTCAACTTCCGATCAATTTTTATTTTCTGCATTCTTCTTTTTGTTTTTGTTTAATTTTTTTGATGTGGATTATTTGAAAAGTCGAATTTTTCTCAAATTGTGTGATTTTTTTTAAAAATGAATCTAATTTTTTAAAAATAGTTTTTGTTTTTATTTCTCTTTCTATCATTATTATTAAGTTTTCTATTTAATTTAATTAACATTTTTTTACATTTTTCTTTTTTCTTTAGCTAATTTTTGTTTTTTATTTTTGCACTTCGTCGTTTTTTATTTTATTTTTTATTAAATAAATGAATAAATAAGTAAAAAAAATTAAAAATACAGTTTTTTTTCGAAATTTTAATCTAAAATTCTAGATGAATGAATTTATACTTGATGTATACTTGATTTTATTTTGTTTTCATGATGAAAATAAATAAATTCGTTTATGGATTCATCTGGCCTTTTTAATAATCTTAAATTGACCTGGAGAACTATCCTTTGGGAATTGTTTATTTGACATCTGTTTGCATTATTTATTTTGGCGAAGGCCACAGTTTGTTGCCCATCTTACATTCATTTTCTTTTTTGATTTCAATTCTATTTAATTTAATCTACTCGAATTTTAGAGCGGCGTTTTTTGCTATTTTACTATTAATTTATTATTTAAAATTTACTATCATTATCATTATTATTTTTATATTTGAACCAAATAATTACAGTGCAATTTATCCTTGAATCTAATTATTCATCCTTTGGTAATTAATATGGTATTTGTCCAGTTCCTTATATATGCTTAATTTATCTTCTCTTTGATGTTTGCTTCGAGTAAGCAATCTCTAAAATTCTCTAATCTTTGTGGGCAATATTGCATAGTAAAAGCAAAAGTGAAATCTGGATGATACTTGGAGATCCAGTTGTATCACTATTCTCTATGGATTTCTGATGAATGGATCTTCTAGCAGTAGTGCAGCAAGTTCAAGTAGTCTGAATGTTGTAAAAAAGAAATTAAACTTTACATCACTGCCAGTTTTCGAAATTGTATCATGATTTATCATTATCATTTTTAATATCTATAACTATTATTTTTATATTATTGGCGTTATGTACAGTTTTTAGTTCGATATTTTTTATTTTTCCGAATTCACTAGCTTATAGGAATTTGAACAGTCTTTCAGATGACGGATGGGTCAGAATTATGGCGAGAATGCGTACGATGGATGATTAAGTGTGGAATTTTAGATGCAACTCATCGAGTCGCGGATAGTGACGCTGAAATTGGTGATTTTGCTTCAATTCTTCGCGATGGTGTTCTTTTATGTATGCTATGCAATCGTTTATGCGAGAATTGTATTGATACTAAAGATCTACAACAAAGGCCGCAAATGGCGCAGGTAGCTTTTTTTTTTTTGATGCTCCTTTTGCCTCAATAAATTCTTTTGCATTGAAAGACGATTCATATTTGTAATCATTTTTATAGTTCTTCGTTTTTCTTCTTCTGTTATGGGATTCACAATTTATTTGCCGATCATCTAAACGTTTCGCTATGATTTCCTAGAAATTTCCTAGAAATAAATTTAATGATAAATTTCTCATTCTATTTTGGTTAATTTTAGCAAAATTTTATTCAATTTAGAAAGAAGATGAAAAGCCTCGTTTTTTTATGTCAGAAATTCATATTTTTTTCTAATTATCCACAAATTCAAAATTCACAAATATGCAAAACTTGCTTATTGTTTCAAATTGCCAACTAATTCATAATTCCTTCTTAATTTCTTAATTCCTTCTTTATTAGATAATAGCTCAGATTATTGCATTGAGAGGCAAATACCAATGGCAGAAGTAAATTTGTCATTAAAAAATCCGAGGTTAAATCAAGTTGGTGATTTCTGTCACCAAATGACTCTATGGCGAAAATTTATCACCTTATTAAAATTAACCAGCGGAATGATAAGTGTTTATCATTACTTCTTATACTTGAACGATTATCCATCGTCATGTCCCAGAATGAAATCTTATGATCGAGAAGATCTGGAAGAAGACTTGAGACCATAACAACTTAAAAATGGGATAGGTTGTGAGGTGGATATAGAAATCAAATTGAGCAATGTTTTGTTGTTTCTTGTTATGGCTAATTAGACTAAACTAAAATAATTGAAATTTCCTATTTTTTAACATACGGATAATTATTACCTAATAATTATTTATTTTTGGAATATTTAAAGATTTATTCCTATTTATTATAAAAGCAAGAAATTTGAAGATCTTTATTTTTGCTTTTTTTTTTAAATATTTATTAGATCTTAGATGAAAAGTTTTTCTTGAATTTTTTTTTAAAACTCCATAAAAAGTAATAGTATTTTCTATTATTTTGTCCGTAAATGATCGAATACAAAAAGTATCCTTCTTAGTCTCGTAATAATTGCCTCGCCGGTGTTAATTTGGATTTTTAAATAGAAAATTTTTACGATCTTTTACCCATTCTTCAACAATCAATCACCTTTTTATGTATTTTATATGTATTTTCACTGGGCAATTCGAAAAATGATGGTGTTTTTAATTTATATTTCTTAATATAAATTTATAAAAATCATCTAAAATAAATTTAAAATTGTGGTTGATGCGGAGAATTATTTTTATTTTTTTTTAAGATCGGCACTCTTGTGGGGATTTTTTTTCCTCATCATTATTTTATAGTAAAATAAGAATTTCAATAATTTCATCCAGATATATATTATTTGTGATTTCGTTTTTGCCATATTATTAGAGCTATTTCCCACTTGAAATTTTTATATTTTTAGCGATCGAAAAAGGAATATTTTTAAATGTCAAATTTTGTCAATGAATCCACAGAATATTTTCTCATGGATTTTTTTCGCTTATCATTTAAAGGAATAAAGAAGGAATGTTGTGAAAATTTTGTTTTTCATGGGTTATTTGAGTTTTTTTTGGTTCGTTTAAAATTTTCGGAGGAATATTTGAAATAGAGATATGTCGTTATGACATGAAAATACGATTAAAGCAGGTTGATTCGCATAGATTGGCCTTGTAAAAGAGAAAAAATGATAGAAAACAATAATTTTTCTCTTTAATCGACGAACTATATTATTTCTTAGAAAAGTGGGAAAAATTATAAATTGTAAATTTTTTTTTTCTTTTGCGACGAATTATATTAATTATTTCTTAGACTCTTGAAATTTTTAAACAATTTTGCATTTTTTTTGCAAATCTTGCAAAATTTATTTCATTTATTTTGAATATTTTTTACTTACCATTTTATGTAGAGTTTTATATTTTTTTTCGTAACTCATCAATCACTTTTTATGTTAACCAAGAAAAGAATTATTATTCCAATTCCTGTTTTTAATTTTTCATGATTACTTAATAGATTATAAAAATATTTTGCTTTTTCTTTTACTTCATAAGAATTATTCATTGTTGTTGGATTTTTAATTGGTTTTTTACCTTTTTTTTTCTCATAAATGCTAAGAAATTTATAAAAATATTTTTTTCAAATTGATTCATTGAAATCTAATTGTTCTGTTTTTGGAATCTTGAATTTTTTATTTTTATCTATTATCATTTATCTTAATCATTTGTTAAATCCTTGTTGATTGTTTGTATTAGCATTCAGTTTCGATTTTATTTGTCATTTTATTTCATATTTAACTGATTTTTTCTTCATTTTAATCTCAGTCATCTTATATTTTTTCTTTCGATTTTATTCTATTTTTTTTAGGCGTAAAAGTGATAAATTTTGTTTAAATATCGAAAAACCAAAGTTTTTTTCTTTTTTTTTGAAGAACTCTAATTTATATATTTTCATGCATTTTGTTAGTTTGTGTGATTATTCAATTCATTTTTATTTAAAATGAGAAAATGACTTTTTCAGTTTCTTTGTTGCAAAAATATCTGCGAATTTTTAAAAGCATGCCAAAATACATTCGAAATGAAATCGGAAGATCTTTTCGATCCATGGGATTTATATCGTCTTAATGATTTCGCCAAAGTTCTTCGTACTCTTTCAAAATTGTCGAATTCGCCTGCGGCACAGCTCTCTGGAATAAGGTAGCTGTTAGTCTTAATTAAAATGTATGTTAAAATTATTTATGAATTTTTAAATGTGTATTATTATATTATATGTATTATAGTTTTTTTTTAAAAATTCACCTCACCATTACTGGTTAGATTCGCTGCGCTGACTTGTCGCGTTAGACAAACATGAAGTCCCCTAAGAAGTCCCCTTGGCGATAGAAACCCAGCTGAGTCGCCAGCATTCGAATTTTTCTATAGGTTTACTCCTGCCGAGATTTCCCTCGTCAACTTGTCCCAATAAAACTGAGCCATTCTGCTTATTTACGGTTTAATAGTTTATTAGCGCTCCAATAAATTTATATTATTTTGGAATATTTTGCTAGAAATTTCAAATTTTTTACTTCTAAATGCCTTTCAGCTTTATTTTTCAGGGGTTTTCCGTCTCGATCATTATCGACATCATCGATTGATTATTGTAACGACGAAGCTATTTACCGAAATTTGCGAGATGACGCTGAAGATAATGAGCCTGTTGTTGAAAATTGTTACGATATAGGTACAGCAGAAGAAGAAAAAGCTCATGGTCGAATCTATGATACAATTGTTTGCCAGCGTTCTAGTGGACAACGAGGAATTAAGGCTTCTGAGAGCGATGTACATTTTTGATTTGATTTTTTAGATTCATTTGCTTAAATCCATTTTATTTAATTGATAGAATTATAGAAATGGACGAATTTCAAACCGGAAACACGTCGTGAGCATTGTATCAAAGAACTTTATGATACAGAGTCGAATTATGTAGAAAAAGCTTTGGATATGATAATTAACAAATTTTATACTCCACTGGAAAAAGTTTTATCTCCTAGTGATCACAAGATTATTTTTTTGAATATCGTGGTGAATATAATTTTTTTTTTATTTTTCATTGTTTATTACTGTATTAATCGTTGGATTATTTAGATACGAAAAAGTATAAGAATAAACAGGTTTTACTCCTGATAAATCAAATTTTAAGGAATTGGCCTGTATACATCGATCGTTTCGTGATCATCTTCGACAGGCAGTGTTTTATACAATTGGTTTGGAAACTCCATCAGCAAATGAGAAGACAATCACTATTGGTGATGTTTTTTTAGCGTAAGTTTTTTTCTTGTCACATTTGCTTTGTCCTCTAAGTTTATTGATATTTTTGTTATAAAGTGATAAATTCGCTTAAATTGTTTGAATATTGAGGTAGAATTAGCACTTTTTTCTTATTATTATTTTTTATTTTTTAAAAATGTTCTTTATTTTTTAAAAAATGTCACTAATTTCTCTAATTTATAAATTTATATTGTAAATTATATTGTAAATTTATATTGTCTATATTAGTAAATTAGTAATTTGCATTAAATTATTTCCCAATTTTTCGATTTTTCAGGTGGAAAGAAAAGTTCGTTGCCTATGGCCAATATTGTTCTAGACTTTCAGATTCTCGCTCAAAAATTTGTCAGCTTGAGAAATCTGATCCTTTTGTTCGTCAGAAAATTGTTGTAAGCCTTTAATATCTTTAATCTGTAGAAAAAATCTCAAGTGTGATTGTCTGATCCTAATTTGTGAATTTTTTAAATTAAACATTTCATTTCTCTTCTCGATTTTACATTCATTTTGGCTTATTTATTCTCATTAGTTCATCCATTTTTCAATTTCAATTCATCTTTTATTTTCTTGACTGCTTTCAGGATTGTGGACTCGAAGCTAATCGAAATCAATTTCATTTGCATGATCTTTTGAGTATTCCTATGCAAAGGGTGCTGAAATATCATGTTTTATTATCAGTATGTATCATTTTCTTTGCTTATCTCAAGGATTAATTTACTTTATTTATAATTTTGTATTAAGTATAAATAAATCGAAAAATTAGCATTGAATTAAAATTGTTGTTAAGATTTCCTAGGTGTCATTCATTGAACAATTTATTATACATCCTTTGGGTCTAAAAGGTTAAGATGATTCATTTATTCAGGAAATGATTAAGTTAACATCTGTTGAGTCGCCCGATCGTTTATCATTAGAAGAAGCAAAGGAAGCTATGCAAGATATAAATGTTTATGTTAACGAAATGAAGCGTGATTATGAAATGCAGCAGCTCGTTTATTCGATTGAAAAAAGTATTCCGGATCTCGAAATGGTACCATTTCCCTATTATTAAAGTTAAATATCAAGAAATTTGAATGTAAAGAAATTTTTAAGAAGAAGAGAACTTTAGCGACCAACTATTTACTTCCTTGTTTATTAATTATGAATTTATAATCCTGAAGTGAAATTATTGAAGAAAATTTCTTTATGAATCTTGAATTTTTCAAATTCATAAAAGAGGACTTAAATGGTTTTTTCAGATTCACGATTCACCTTCTTTTCTTAACTGTTTAGTCCAATTTTTTATTATTATAGTTTTCAAGATTTCTAAAATTTTATGGAATTTTCAAATTGTGGGATCTTGTTTTTACTATAATTAAGAAGTATATGCATCGAATGATTATTATGTAGCAGAATAAAGCGAAGAATTATGTACTTTTCCAGCTTCTTTTGCTTGATAAATTGTTGCTTTGATCGTTGAACATTTTAGCCCGATGGAATTCATTTAATTGATTATGGTCGACTGGTGAAAGATGGTGAAATAAAAATTGCCGACTTTAATAAGGATGGTAATAAGTTGAAGAACCGATATGTTTTTGTTTTCGATAAAGTAATGCTGATTTGCAAAAGCTTACGAGTAAGTGCATTTAGTTTTCTTCCTATTTGTCCAGAATTATATTTCATTTAATATTCTATGGTTTATACATATTAATCATTATTGTTATTTATTTATTATGGATAACTACTATATGATTATTTTCAGGGCAATCAATATTCGTATAAAAGTGCTCATATTTTGCGGGATTATCGAATTGATGTGGATCTCGATAGTAATAAATTTGGAACAATAACGAGAAAGTTGACAGTAAATGGTGGTCATTATTTTTCTCTTATACAAGAAGGTGGTGAAAATACGACGAATGTACTGAATATATGTTGTAAAACATTATTGCAACGTGACACATGGGTGCAGAATTTTGAACTGGCACAGTATTATCTTTTTATTTTTGAATGAATTATTCTAATTTGAATTTTGGAATTATTTTCTCGTGTTTATCTTTTAGGACGATGATTGATTTTATCATTAAATTTTATGAAAAATGTTTTTTTAATATTTTTTTTTAAAATCATTCTCATTAATAAATTTAGCGCAGTTTTTTTTTCTTTAGGGACAATGATAAGCCAAAAGATATGGAAAATTCGGGACATATTTTATTATACCAATCGTATGACAAAGCAACCATCTGTTCTCATTGTCAGAAACTTTTGGCTGGATTATTTTTTCAAGGATATCGTTGTACAGGTAAAAATTTAAATTGCCATAAGAAATAAATTTCGTGTAATGATGTAAAGAAATGAATTATTCAGTTATCACTAGAAAATCTATAAAATTTTATATTTTTTAATTTTAATTAAAAATTTTTAGTTTGCAAAAAGAATTTACATCGTGGATGTATTGCTATGAACAAATGCTGCGGTACAGGACCCACTCAGTCGAAGAGTGCCATTATTCATCGACGAAGGCATACACATTCCTCACGTAAGAAGATTTTGTTTTCACTTGTAAAAAGTGGTTAGCGCTTACCATTTCATGTTAGGCATACTTCACTTGGGTGTTAGTAGGGTTTGAAATTTTTGATAGGGAAAGTTCAGCAATAGAAGTAAAAGCAATAGAAGTACCCGTGGCAGTAAATTGAATAGATAGATAGTAAATTGAAAATAAAAGTATGCTTTTAAATGTTTTTACACCAGTCTTTTATCGTTATGCTGTGATTTCGCTGGTTTATTATAAGTTAATTAAATCACTGGAAAAGAAAGGACTGATTTCAGCAGCTTCTCAAATTGGCTTTATTTTATCTTGCTCATTCAGGATTTAAATAGTTGATTGAATGATTTTTGAGTGGCGAATTTCTAAAGTGTTTTCGTTATTTTTTATTATTTCTTATTTTTTGTATTAAATTCGGTGACTGTGTCCCTTTTTCTTTATCGTTCAACGGTTTATGTTATAGTTGTTCATGAAATTTTGCCGAAATTAATTATTCTTATCATTTGATATCAACGTTTTTCTCTTACATGTAGATTTTTCGCAACCATCAGCCATCTCCTTTGTTGAGTATTTTTGTCTAATTGGAATTTTGGCTAAAATCAATATTTATTTATTCTGTATGAAACAGATCAATTTGTCGCTATGAAGTTGTGAATTACTGGTGAAAATCTGAATCGGTCCAGTCTTAATTTGGCTAATGATTTTATGTGCTGTTGCATAATGTGATATCCTAGTATTTAATTATGGGTTGCTTAAAATTTTGAATATTTTCCGGATTTTGAAAAATAAATGGGTTATTTGAAGCATTGAAGAACGTTTTGATTTGCTAAGCTTAGAGTAGCCAAATGATTATTGTTTAAATTTCGAGCATTGTGGTTCTAGAATAAAAGTTATTCAAAAATTCGGTATATTATCATATTTGATATATATGTATATTTGTTAAATATATTATTTTATATTTCGGTATAATATTAATATTATATTGTATTCTATATTCAAATAATTTTTATTTCCTGGAAAAAATGGTCTTTTTCTATTCAAGACCAGTGGAGTTTAATCAGAAATGTTCAGTATTAACCACATAGTGATCAAATTCTTGATGGTAAATGGAAAGACCCATGATTTTTTTCTTCATATTGCTAGTTTAGTTTGACTGATGACTACATAAGAGGTTGCCAAGCTACCATTCTTGAGAATAACTGAGACCACTCCTTTCCAACCTTCAAATCCATGTATCATCTGGTCATTAGGCCATGAGAGTGGATCTGAGATATTCTTGAACCGTTACTAAATTTAAGAGATTGCGTTCTTGTATATTCTGTGATATGATGAGATGAAAAGAATTTCGTCTTGCGTGATATGTGCTGGCTAATTTGTGCACTTCTTCAGTGCCTATAAGTGGTGATCGTATCCGACATAGTTTCTGTTTTTATATATTACCAGAATTCTAAGTAGAACGGAGACAAAAATCTTCCCTAAAATATCTGGGAAGGAAACTGATATTTTTCTCTAGTTGGTTTGAGGATGGGGAATAGAATTGCTTTATTTCAGTTATATGACATTAGCTTCTTCTCGCATACCAATTAATATAACTTTCGTAGGTGTACTATGAAGGATACTTGGCTTAAAGTTTTGCTCGTCAAACAATGCTTTTTAAATCTAATCGAAAATCATCATGCTAGAGCAAATGATTTTGAATATGGAGAAAATAGCACCTGTTCCACTTATTTCACAAAGCAAAGCAGTCGCAGCTCGAGAAATGATCAGTGAAATAGTTCGAGATGATGGAAATCGCGTTAAGATTATCAAGGACAATCTCTTCTGATAGGGAGAATTTTTTAAATCTAAAACGAGAAATTCTAAATAATTGGGAGGCGTTTGCATTCATATGGCTGCAGTTGTTAACTACCAGTTTTTATAATTCAATGAAATTTAAGACTGAAATCATATTAAATATGACTGGACAAGTGGGCTGAGTGGGTCGTTTTCGTGAGAAAATAGATTTAGTTGAATACTGATTTTATCCTATTTATCTCACAATTATCAGGGATTTGGTTAACGTAACAGCTTTTATGACAGCTTTTGGCCTTATATACAATTATTCTGTAATTCTTGCAATTGTTTTTGTGATTTTTACGATTAATTTCGCATCTTCTGCAGCCCATTTCGATATAATCATAGAAGGCGCTATTTGCAGAAATCACAAAATTGCCTGCAATTTTTCTTTTGTCTCGAGTTCAGCCTATTGTAGCATAATTTTGCAATGAAATTCGACACAATGCTTGATGATATTCTAAGTTTGATGATAACTTGCTTTATCGCTGATATTATATATTTTGGTTGTTTTATGCTGCAAATATTCAAAATCTAATAGAAACGCGTCTATCCCGCTTGTGCATTGAAATTTATTCATTATAAAGTGATACCGAAATTTTAACGTGAATGATTTTGCAAATTCATATAAATTCATATTTTTGTGGGAATTCTAAGGAATTTTATCGTAAATTTTGCAGAAATCACAAAATTGCCTGCAGGGACTATGAAAGTTCATAAAAAAAAGTTTATTGCACTGATATTACGAAAGCATATGATTATATAACGAGGCGAAGCTAAATATTCTACGAATAGAAGGCAAAACAAGAAAGCTTATTAAATATTTAGAATAGTTATAAAATTCAAAATGATTTACAAGCTGTTCTATTTGTAAAAAACGCAACTTCTATATAAATATAAATAAATTTTTTATAAATTTATTTATAAAAAATTTATTTTTTATTTTTATAATTTTATAATTTTATTTTATAATTTATTTTTTTATAAATAAATTTTTAATAAATAAATTTTTATTAATTTCAAAGATGTCTCATTTTTTTCCTTTTATTTATTCATGCTAAAAAACAGTTACAACTGTAATAATATTTGTAGTGCAGCCGAATGAAATCGTTATATCAGTGCAATGTTTTCGTTCTGTTGATCCTCGATTCTTATGTTTCGAAAAAAACGATCTCATAGAAATTACTCAACAAACCGCAGATGGTGGTTTGATGGTTAGTTGGTTATATGTCAGTAGTTTAGCTTTTCTGTTATGTTTGCTCTAAAATTACATGAAGAATTTTGCGGATTTTTTTTTTTTTTGAATTTCTTATTTATTTTTCCATTGTTTTTTTTTATATTTTTTAAATTTTATTATAGGGAAGACTTCTCACATCACCCGACAAAATTGGTATCGTTCAGCCGGAATTCGTACGGAAATATCGAGTAAGTTTTTTTGCTATCTATTGGCGGATAGATTAGCCAGTAGTATTTTGAATATGAAATATCTAAATATATAACGATTGATATAAAATTTGTTCATAAAAATCAAATTATTCTCGTGCAGAAAGGTTGTTCTGATGAATTGGAAATTGGAAAAAGGAGATAAATTGTATCGGAAAAGAGAGAAGTAAAGTGTAACAATTTTTAACGCAAAATGAATAGAAAGCTTAAATTGTGTTCAGTCTTATTTTGACTAAAAATATACCTCTAGTTAGGTCAGAATCGTTCTCGATTTGGAGAATTTTCGAATTTGGCTTGTTTTTACGGCTTTTTTCTGATTATTTTTTTCTACTGGATGTATATCTGGTGCAAATATTGGCATTGATTGAGTTGAATAATTTGACTAAATCTTTCAGATATCGTCTTCTTCTTTGCGCAGTTCATCGCTGAGTCAAATTATGTCTTCAATGCATTCTAATGGAACGAGTGGACTATTATCACCAGAACGTCATGACTCGTTGTTATCAGTTTTCCTTCCAAAATCGGTTTCTATTCCTCATCGTCGTTCGTCAATGTCGACAGATAGCATGTTAGTTGTCGTTTTATTTAAAGTTTTGGTAAAATTTTTCATTTTCTTTCATTTCATTTCATTTTTCTTTTTTCATTTTCTTTTTTTTTGTGTATGGTATATGAAACGAGTGCTATTTCAAAGTAACGAAAGATTGAGTATTCCAAAGTGAAGGAAATTCATTTTGGTCTTTTGTATTTGTCTTTTATAATTTTTCCGAGATGATTAATGTACCGAAAGATTACTTGAAAATTTTTCTTTATTTCAATGTCTTCTGCGTTTAGAACATCGCATTTAGGCATTTTTTTTTCGATTATACTGATAATCTTTTAGATTTCTTTTTTTAAATTTTATTTTACATAATTTGATAAATTTTTATAGTAATTTTTAATTTAATTTTTTAATCCATTTTATTTATAGTTTAATTTAATTTTTAATTTTTTAATTTAATTTAATTTTTTTAATAGTATGTCAGTAAAAAGTCCAATATCAGAAGACTACGTTAATATTGACATTGTCGGTCAGCAGTGGTATCAAGGTTCTTTAGAAAGGCGAGAATCAGAAAACAGATTGCGTGGTATGCCTGATGGTACTTTCCTTGTTCGGTTCAGTAACACACAGCAAAAATATGTAGTAAGCATAAGGTATGTCCACGTCTTCGATAAAAATATTAAAATTTCCATTTACGCAACTCAAGGCCTTTCTTTAATTTTTTCTATCCGTTGAAGAAGTTTCCAGTGTATTTGTCGATTTTATTCTACATTTTAGATGAACTGATCAATAAATTTTCCTTTGATTCTTTAATATTTTATTTTTTTGAAATTCTTAGTTTTAATGGCGATGTAAAACATACGAAAATAGAACAAACATCTGACAGTCGATTTTATTTGGATGAAAGCAATACTTTTGCTAGTGTCGTTGTGAGTTTCATTTTTTTTCTTTAGATTCTTTAGTTATCAGAATTTTATCAGACTTATTCACTTTACAAGCTTTGAAATTTCGAAGTAAAAAAAGTTTGACGTTAAAGATTTTATTTTAATTTTTTCTATAAGAAATTAATATTTTTAATGGTTTGCTTAGCCTTCTATTGATTTCCAACAGATTTTACATTTTTCTTTGTTAAAATAAAGATAAAAAACTTGTAAAAGATTATGGAATTATTATGGAAATATTTAGAAAGAAATAATTTGACTGATAATTTCCAGGAATTAATAAATTATTATCGGGAACATAATCTCCGAGAATCATTCGAGACTCTGAACACTACGCTTCGACAAGCGTACGTCGCGAATCGACCCTATGTTGCCATTCATAATTTCGAAGCGACGAATTCAAACTTTTTAGAACTGGTTGTTGGGCAACACGTTGATGTCATTAGTAGGTTGGGTGAAGATAGAGGCTGGTGGAAAGGTAGAACGGGCAATAGGGTAAGTTTAATGTTGAATTTTTATTTTTACAAAAATATTAATTCTCAGATAAATTATTTTTCAATGTAAAAATTCTATTAAATGTGAGTTTTATAAATTATTTTTATTTTCAGATTGGTTATTTTCCGCTTACTTATGTAGTCCCAGCTGAATAAGAACGACCGGTACAATCGATTTGCGATTGTTTAAACTGTTTATTATTTTCCAAAGTGCCTTTCTGATGCAAACTAATTTGATTGCTTGCATCATCATTTCGTTCATGGATAATGCGCATCCATGCTATTTCTATTATCTTTCGCGAAATTTTTATCAAGAACGATTTGAAATATCGTCGAATTGGTCAAAATCTTCTTCTTCAGAATTCAGAATTATAGAAGAATCTACATATACATTCATTCAATGTTTATTACCGAAATATTTGATGAAATTTAAGTACCTGAATTATATGAATGTTTAAAAGTAAGCATAAGCATGCAGTTTCACATTTCTTGCTCAAAAAAATTTTTTTTCCTTAATTTTGCTAATTTTTTAATTTCGTATCATTTTATTTCTCTCCTTTTATTGGAATATGTTCATTTCTTTCATTTTGGTTTTTCTTAATTTTTGCCTATTTTATAAAATTTTTATATCGGGAATTTAGTTATTTAAAATTTCACTCGTATGAAACCACTGACCATTAGAAAACGAACGATAAGGCGCCATGAGTAATTTAAGTTTTTTTTTTTAACTAAAGAGTTTTAGGAAAAAATTATTTAGGAAAAAATTATTTAGGAAAAAATTTAAAATTAATAAAATTAATTGTATTAGAATTTTAGTTTAGCTTTTTTCGCTTCGCCTTCGTTTTTATTTTTTTTGATTTATTTCGTTTTATAAGCATTTATATAGAATTTTTTCTTTATAAAAAGTGCTTTTAGTTTTTCGCTTATTTTTTTCGCTAATTTTTGATTATATAAAAATTGATCACTTATTTATCCACGTTTTTTTTTTATTCTATTCGATCCATCGAATGCTTTAATTCGCTTTTTTAAAATAGTCTATAAAGCGATATGATTGGAATTCATAGAATTCATTTATTGTTGTTTTTTGATTCGCCATTCGCTATTAGCCTTAATTTTGTTTTCAATTTGCCATCTATCAACACTTTCTTTTTTTTCTGGTTTTATTTTTCAACTTGGCCTTTCAGTACAAATCGTGGTACTCTATCTGATACATATAATCCGATTCTTTCATTCTCTTAAAAAATCTATTTCTTTGTTTTTTTCTAAAAGATTCTCTAAAAGAAATGGAAATAACGAAAAAAGCCGTATGATGTAAAATTAAGATGTTTTGTATATATGTTTGTGGTTCTCTAATAAAAATTGGTTTTGATTTTCTTGATTTTTAGTTTTTTTGTAAAAACAATTTTTAGAATATCTATTGCAGTTGAAATATTTATATATAATCGAAACGTCGGAGGTCATTTTTAGAAATATTAAATATACTATAATAAAAGAATTTAGATTCAATTATTTTTCGCTATCCCTCTCTTTAATCTTTTCTATATATCAAACGCATTCTTTCTTGGTTCATATTTTCCTAACTAATAGAGAATCTGACTTTCAATTTCTAAATATTTATGGTACGTTTAGCTCACATCGCTAGCGGCAAAATTTTTGCTATAATTACATTATGAATTATTTCCCCAATTTATGGACTAATTAATAATTCTTTATTAATAATTCTTCTAACAAATGATTGATATGATTAAATTTATCATAATTTATCATTTGAATATTAATTTTCATTTTAATTCACATAGAAAATATTATTTTATAGAGGCTTCTGTGAAATTTTTAAACGTTTGTGATTTGTGATTTCGAGGTTCTATTTTTCTAAATTTAAAATATTTAAAATATCGTTTTTTTTTGAAGTGGATTGTTCGTCATCTAAGCATAATGAAACGCTAAATTTATTGTAGTCACCATAATTAATTTTTTCTTTAGGTTTTTTCTTTTCTTTTTTTCGGGTAATAAATATTAGAGATTGCAAAGCGAAGCGCTTTGTCGCTTATCACTTTATCATTCTGAACATTAAGATTTAAAATATTATATCTTCTTCATATTAAAAAAAATATGTTAGGAAATATAGGAAATGAAGGAAATATACACGCATATCTTTTCCAAATGATTTCCTAGCAGAAAAATCTCAACAGATGTTTAGTATTTTTCGTTATTAACCAAATGAATAGAAAAGTGTTGATAAAATGGAATTGCCTTTAATACTATTCAGAATTGGTTCTTCAATCCGTTTTTTACTATTAAATTGAATTATTTTGAACTGTTTGGCACAATTTTTACGATCCGATAAGGCAGCGAAGTATGCTTTACTAGAAATGGTAAACGCAGAGTTAGAAAAAGCACCAATATTTGGGCAATGTGCTCAGGTTTCACTGGAAATTGCACAACTGCACTTTGCTTAACTCCCATCTAATCTTGTACTATCCATTAGTTTCCATAGGCAAAAAATGCGGTGCAATTGGAATTCAAATCAATTTTTTAAATTTTTCTTTTAGTTGTGTGACAACAGCGATTGACGAGAAAATAGGAAAGATGAGACAGGAAATGGAAAAGGGCATAAATGAAGAGCGCATAAAACCAGTAAAAAAAAATAGTGAAGTGGTGCACTAGTTGGTTAAGCCATTTTCCATAGGAGAATGTATCAACTATCGTTAGAAGTGAAGGCGGCCCAGTAGCATTCATATTTTTTAATGCAATAATGCTATCCTGGCCCTGTAGAAACATGGAATTTTTGTTTCTAAAAGTCCACCATTACTGGTTTAGCTCGATCCCGATGGCTTGTCACACTAGACAAATATGCCAAGGAGTACCTTAGCGATAGAAATACAGGTGAGTCGCCAGCCAGATTTTTGGACAGGCTTTATTCCGTAGGAAATAAATATCAGCATCGGCGCTCCAAATTGAACAACAAACGCGCTGAGCCCGCCCCATTCTACCTCTAATGGAACTATGAAAAATATATATTCAAAATTAATCAGATTTACAAATATTCTTCATTATGAATTTCTTTTTCATCCGACCCCGAATTTCTTCACGTTGACTCCAGCTAACACGTACATATTTAGTCACGTACATATGCTTGGTACTCATTTAATATTCCTTTGATATTTCAGTGACAGTTGTCATTGTGAAATATCTCATAAATCTTACGTAAATTTATTGCTGCTTTCGTTCTTAGCTTTTGTATTTGTATTAATTTGTATTATCGAATTAATTTTTGATTTGAATATAGGAATGAAGCCGGTTACGCAAGCGACACTTGAGCGAAAATTCATCGAAACTGGTGAGCGTGAACGAATGAAAGAATTGCTTATATCGAGGCTTCGCGAAACAGGTTGGATTGATGAGGTGCATATAATGTGCCAAAAAGTTGTTCAAAGCAAGGTTTTCGTTTTCTCATTAAGAACTCGTAAATTAATTATAAATTTTGGCATTGGTATTTGGCGTAAACATAAGTTTTCAATTAACTAAATATAGCCTTAAATGTTCTTCTTCTAACAACTCTCACCATTGCTGGCTAGGCTAGCTCCAACGGCATTTGGCGTAAGGATGAGTTTTTAAGACGTAAGACGTTTCCAGGCGACACGGTCTGGTGCCATCATCGACAGTAATAGAAGCCATTCCTTTTTCCATCGTCTAAGTCCATATATTTGCTGGTCCACCTTTACGTTCAAAATCTTTTCTGACCGTATCAGTCCAGGTCTTTATTGGCCTACCTCGCTTTTGACGCCATCGATCACATGGCTTAGCAAGTAACGAAATATGCGACAACTCTTGTGGTGGACGACGGAGAACGTGACCTAACCACGGAAGGCGATGCTCTATAATAACTTTATTAAATGCAAATGGTATTTGAACGAAGATGGATGCGATCATGTGATATTTTATCCGGTAGGTGAACCCGTAAAATGTACCTTAGACAAGAGGTAGATAGCTTCTTAATATCCTCAATTTTCATTGCTCATGTCTCAGAGCCATGTAGCAAGATCGAACGAATCACGGCCATATAGATGCGGACTTTCGTTTTAATGGTAATTTCAATGGTAATAGCCTTAAATATAGATAAATATAAATATATATCTTCGTCTTCTAATAACTTTTCATCATTACTGATTAGGTTGGCAATAACTTTATAAAGAGGTGAATTTTATCAGTTTGTTGTACGGTAGACGAAAAGGCTTTCGTTTTATTTACATTAACTCCGAGTCCCATTCTAGCTGCAGTTGCTGACACATTGTTTAGCATTTCGTCATAACTGTCAACAAAAAGAACTACATCATTAGGGTATTCAAGATCTGTGATACAACACTGGACTGATTTTATACACCTCTTGAGTGTTGACAAGCGATGTCCATTATCCAGTCTATCGCATAGTTGAATATTGGAGAGAAAAGGACATAACCTTGATGTGCACCAGTTTTAAGGAGTCTGTCAGTTCCACATAAATATTTTATACTATAAGGTTTCAATATTCAAAATTTTTAATGAAATACTTATTTCGCGAATTACCACTATTATTGCACTATTTCATAATGCTGCTGTAATTTTAAAATTTATATTTTTCCGAAATACTGGATTTATACTGGATTTTTACCCCGGATTCCCTTGAATGACTTTTTTTAAATGCGCAAAATGCACGTGAATTCGATAAAAAAATGCGTATGAAAATTTTTTTTTATTGGTGATAAGCTAATATCAGTGTGTGGTTTGTTAAGAGATTAGTGATAATTAGGTGCGCGAATCAGCATTATCTTAATTTTTTGCTCTTAAAAATTTCCTTTTGACAATAATAAAATAATAATAATAAAATTGTGGTTAGAAAAATTATAAAAATGAATTTTTAGGGAGTCGATAAGTGTAAAATAGATGATATAATTGATGAAGTTAAAGGACCAGCTAGACGTAGTGTTCCTGAGGACGTTAAGCGTGAACTTATGATGTGTATTCGAACCTTTTTGCAACAAGCATCCGATTTCGATGATCTTTAACGAAGCTTATAAAAAAATCTCTAAAATTTTCATCAGTTTCTATAAATATTTCTCATTTAATGGCTCAAAATTTTCACATTTTTAATCGTTTGTTTTTTTGTTACGCTTATTCTTATTTGCATGTTTCACCTACGCTAATGCTAATAACTTTCGCGTTTCGTTCACTTGTATTAATCATGTATTTCATTTTTTATATATATTTATTGTTGATATTTTGGCATTTTCTTTATGAATGTTAAAATAAATTTAAATATGGGAATTACTTTTCATTACAAATGATTGAATTATATCTTATAGGAAAAATTCAGCAATCGGTTTCGCTATTCGCGATTTCAGAAAACTTTAGAAAATTTATTTCGATTATTTAAATTATAATTTAAATTTATTTCGGTGCTTTTGAAAGACTTATCTTTTCATAACCATTTAAGGGATTTTATCACTAAAGTAGATAAGAAAATTTAGCAAAATCTATTCATTTCGAAAAGCATCTAACATTAAATGATAACAAAAGATAAATAAAAACCATATGAAACCATGTGATGATAGTAAAATAAAGTGATTTATTTGATAAACCTTTTTCGAACGAATGCCCGAATGCCCTAATTGATCGCCGATCCACTCTAGTGATTAATTCAATACCCTGATAAGTAAAAATGACGTCTCCAATCAATTTTACTAGCAGCTTCAATTTCAATTCATCATTTCGAATAAAATTAAGATTCAATATTATACTTATTGAGGTCAAAAATTGCCAAACAAATATGCATATGACAAATATGACCACGCTTTATTTTTCAAATCAAACGTGAGAATTACTTTAAACCAACGCAAAAGTTTGCCTGACAATCTTTTATAATTATTTATATTAGTGGAATATTCTAAGTAAAATCTAACAAGTATTTCACACATTTCATGTCTTATAAACAAACCACGTCTTTCACACGTTTATTTTTTGACTTAATTGCAACATTTCTAACGATTAACTATTAGTCTGCTATGCATGTGAAAACCTTGCATAATTATATGAAAATCTAATTTTTAAGAGAATTACTATATACTATTAACAGAAACAAATAGAAAAAACAAAAAACTGATAATTATAAATCCGATAAACTAATAATAAATTGATAATTAAAGACACCCATTACAAGTAGTTCAACCTAACCAAAATAAATAATTAACATGAAAAATTTGATAACAATCAGTTTAATCAGTTTTTTCATATGAACAAACCTCTAGTAACACAAATTATTGATAACATCTGGCTTAACTTATTCATTATCATAAGCTCCCATTTCGATTAGATTAGACAGTTTCGACAGTTTTGCAGAAATTCTAATATTTTATTAATTATTATCCATTAGTATGTAGGGAGTATTACTCGTCATAATTTTTTAATTCATTGATTATTTAACAGATTTTAAAAAACTAAATATCGATATAACAACGGAATCTTTTGTTCATCTCACTTAGTTGCCTCGGCAACTAAATCTTTCTTAAGTTTACCCATAAACGCCTTTTTTTCCGCATGAGTCTGGAATCTACCATGACCGAATTTTGAACTGGTATCTATCCATTTCAAATTGATTTTTTCATGAGCAAATCGTTTTGTTTGAACCATGAGTGATTTTCGAAGAGTGATAGGTCGTTTTTTCGACCCAATACAGCATCCACGAATCATGACGAAATCTTGATTTACTAGACCATAATGTGGAAAACCTCCCTAAAATAATGATTTCTATATATTATGACTGTTTTCCAGATGTTTCCAAAATTAGAGGTAAATATTTGCTGCACTCAGAAAAATTTTCAACAATATTTTTTCAGCATTGCAGACACTTTATCGTCATTGTGCTCTTGAATCTGAAATATCGCAAAAAAATATGCATAAAAAGATTTTAACTTACTAAAGGATTAACACTTTTTTCTGTGATATCATATTCTGTTGCACCATTTCTCTTGCCTTCTTCAGTGAGACAAGATTTGCCTAAACGATAAATCTTTTTGTTAATTTCTGTACGGTGGTGATATCCTTTTTGACCAGCACGCGCTACGGTAAACTGTACGCGAGAAGGATGCCAAGCACCAATACAAGCAACCTGAGATCGAGGAAAGTTAAAACCTCTTCTTATTTTGAAAATAACTTTGAAAACACAACAAAACGGCTCAGAAAATACAAAAACTCGTCATAATAAATTGGTCCACTACTTTCACTTTGATCATCATCGCCGCCTGTGATAAATTTATATATTTCTAAATTTCAAACTACCACAGTTAATAACTTTACGAACCTTACGAAGACCCTTATGGGTCTTCCTTGGCAATTTCTTCGTATGCCATCTACTCGTTACACCTTTAAATCCCTTTCCTTTGGTCACACCAATGCAATCTATCATCTCATCTTGAGCAAAAACAGAATCCACAGAAACCTTAAATTACCAGTTATTAATATCCAAAGTAATAAAATAAATTTAAAGCATTAAAAGCACGTTAGCAAATAAAAAGATGAAAAAATGATTGAGATCTGAACAGCAAACTTGTTTTTCCAAATGTTCACGAGCCCAATCAACTTTTTCAGGTACGGTTCCGCCATTAACTTGAATTTCCATGATATGCGCCTTCTTCTGGCGATGTTTCATTATTTTCATCTAAATAATAAAAAAATAATGGTATAATAATAACAGAATGACAAAATTACGTATGTGACAAAATATAATCACAAAAATTCAGTAAAAAAATTAATTTTTTTTAAAGAAAAATGCCTTATAGGCCATTCAAATTACCTGTGTATGGGCAATAACTCTTATCACGCTACAATATTTTTTCATCTTGTTAAGATCGGATTCAATCGATTTCAAACCATCATCATCTTGCCATTTTTTTGCATGCTTTTGGAATGCCTTCTTCTTCGACGAATGCCTGGATCAACAGAATTCAAGAAATCCCTTTCACTTTACCACTGGTTCGAAAAAATATATATATATAACCATCATGTCTTAGAAATATGACAGAGGACGGTCAACATTAATCTTCCAGATATACTGCTACTCATATGTTATAAAATGAACACAGAGGAGAGCATATATACCACATGCCACACTGAAGAAATCTGCATATTTCACAATTTTTCAACAAAATAATCTTGCAAACTATTCACCACAGCTCACTGATTAATCATCCCTGTGCATGTTAATCAATCTCAAAGCTTAAACTGAAAATCACCAAATTTTATCGCGAAATTTTGCTACCCACAATACTACCTGCTTGAAAAACAAAAATGAGATTTTAAGAAAATAGACCAATTCTTGTAGAATCGCCGACGGCAATCTTCAGATAAATGTTCTGCCCATACAACTTTGAACTGGCGAATACCTCGTGGAGTATCGATATAACCAACAACACCAACGATAACCATCGGTGGAGCTTCGAGAATTGTTACGGCCTCAACTACTTCCTTCTTATTGACTTTCGACCCTGGTTTGTCGACCTGTAAAAATTGCAAAGCACCTCATACTTTATCTAATTGCAATACAACCATAAGTGAACAATAGTCGAAATAATTCATGAATATTCCATAACAAATTCTACTGAGCTCAGAAGGAAGGCAGCATGAAGACTGATAAAGTCTCATCACAATTCTCGGAATCAGTCTATCATCATAGCTCATTACATCTCGACAATTCTAAATTCTCATCTTTGAAATAAAAAACGATACCTCACGCACGATATGTGTCATACCAGCCTTAAACGCAATAAAAGCTGTTAAATGAATCGGTAAAGATGGATCATCTTTAGGAAACGCTTTAACTTTACCACGATGACGCTTTGATCGTTTTTTAGGTGTGAAACCCATGGAACCATGACGGGGAGCAGAAAATTTTCGATGCGACATTCCTGCAATATGTCTCTTCTTAGCTTATCTCTTATCAGATCAGTACCTTGCGTATTGGGCGCGACCTAACCTTGAACAAAAAACGCCAAAAAATAATTTCGCAAGCACATGGCGTATAAAACCGACAGATGAACAAATTTAATTTATCGGCGCCGAATTTCTACACCAAGCAAGCTTAATTAATTTTCTAGGCTCGGCGATCTTATCGCCTCTCCAATTTTCCAACTTTCCATTTAAAAAATTCATTTTCCAATCTTTACATTTACATTTCTTACAAAAGAAGCGCCCAACCTTATTCAGATAATTTAATTCAGAATTTTCTTTTCACAGCGTTTATTTCCACTCATTTAGGCTCAATACGCTGGCATGGATTTGCCAGACGTTATTCGGCGACAGTACCATATGCAATACGTCAGAATGATTACCGGTATCTTTGAAAAGTAGTAGCTTACTTTTACCAGGAATGGAACCTAAGAACCACCGCTAGAATGATTTGATTTAAAGAATTTAATAAACAATACTGATTCTATACACTAAATTTCTTTTCTTAATTATATTTTCTAAGATGTGATAAATAAATGAGTTTAGAAGCCTAGAAGGGAAGAAATAATTTGAATTAACACTGCATAACTACAATTATCCCCCAGTGATCCCTTAAAAACGGCCTCATTCTAAATATAAGCCCACCTAGGCCAAAATAATCCCTCCATGACCAACCGCCTATCCTACACCCCAAATTACGACAATAGGGAACAATGAAACAATCCTAGACGACAGCAAATGTAAAATTCGACCACATCGGCTGCAGATCACCACCTGCGAATGTCTGCTGTTTAATAATTTTAAAAGTCGGCACATTTTCGTACAATGTTCATGTGAATCTGTATGCCATGGATAATGAACTGGTTGAAGGTGCACGTGTGTGGTTGATCATTAGAACTTGTGGGAAATCGCATTTGTTGTTATCGATTTTCATCCACATATTGATTTTAATTGCGGTTGTGGGAAAAGAAGAACCGAAATTCGGTATTGTAATTCTAACAAGAATCATTAAAAAATCTTATTAATAATCTTGTCTTAGGTAATATAAACCAGCGGTGTCCAACCTTTAGACCAGCGGTGTCAAACCTTTGGACCAGAGGTGTCCAGAAGTGACGAGAATTTTAGACGAGGATTTTTTTGGCTTTCCTGTTGGCATTAAATGAAGAGGAATTTTCTTCCTTAACACATAAAAATAGTTAGGTAGAAGAAGTGGCATAAATAAACTTATTTTTTATTATAAAATTAAGAAAAAAGAAAACAAAAAACTAGTTGACTATCTGATTGCATTTTCAAGAAAGAAAAAAATAAATACTAGAATTATCCATAATCGAAGATTCACACGACCACATTTTCAATTTCTCTGGGCCATTTTTTGCCTTCGGGCCGCCGGATTGGATTTTTATATTTTAATTTTAGTTGTGATAATCTTATCAATATTTTTATATTTTCTAAATTATAAGAGAAGAGAAAATTGCAAAGAGAAAATGTCGCGACGATATCGAATGACCTTTTTTCTTATCTAAAAAATATTGTCCATTTTTGATTTCGCATTGGTTCATTGGCTATGAGGCTAATGAGGCTCGTTCGCTAGCGAATTATATGGGAAACAGTGTGGGTTGGCATTATTTTTAATAACAGAAGCAACGAATCGAAACCATATGATAAATGGCTTAATAGTGATCGAAGCAGTCGCCTCCCTCCCTCTTCTCTTCCCCTCCTTCCCCCCTCACTGACTAAATAAATAAATAAAAACCGATAAATAAAAACCTATTTATTCACTTGAATGGAATAACAACAAAATAGCGAAAAATCGCGAAAAATCGCGACAAAATGGCGACGTCAAAAGTTGTTTCCTATGATTGTGGATATTAATTTTCAAAAAAATTTTTGTAGAACTGATAAATATAAGTACTCAGTTATAGAAGAAAATCCGTCTAAATCCATATATCATGCTGGTCCATCTATGCGTTCAAAATTTTTTCTGGCTGTATCGGTCCAGGTCTTGGCTGGCCCTCTTCGACGCCATTCATCACCAGGGTTTAGCAAGTAACGAAATATATGTCAAGAAGAGTTGATTTTGTCTAAGTTGGGTGGTTGTATTTTTAAATAACTTGGCGCGAAGCGAGCTTAGTGCTAGTCGAAGCAGTCGTCTATCGTGCCCCTCTCTTTTCCCTCTCTCTCTCCCTTTCCCTCTCCCGACCACCGACTAATAATTCATTTTCAGTTCATTTTTATGATAAAATCGTTAAGGTGAAAATTAATTTCGAAGCCGCTCAATTGTTGTCAAATAAAATGAATGATTCAATCATCTATTTATTGATTTTTTACATTTTTCTTTAATATTTGCTGTATTGTATTTTTGTAAAAATTTTTTTGCTTGATATTTGTAATTAATTTTTTTTAATTTTTATTGAATAATTCTAAAAAAAATTTTGTAAAAATGTTTTTATTTTAATTTTTTTATTTAAAAATATTTTTCAAATAAAAAAAATTTATTTGAAATTTGTTATTTTAGAAAACAAATAATGAAATAAACAAAATTTTCAAAAATTAGGATTAGCGGCAGAGTTGGAAGAGAATTACAAGGATTTGGTGGGTGTGGAAACTGCATATCGGAAGGATCCCGGAGGGTTGTGGATCCGAGGAGTCGAGGATCCGAGAAGTTAAGGACCAGAAGGGTTGTGGATCCGAGGAGTCGAGGGTCCGAGAAGTTAAGGACCAGAAGGGTTATGGATCCGAGGAGTTGAGAGTCCGAGGGGTTATTAAGAGAGTATTAAGGGATTATTATCAAGAGGAAATGTCAAGCGATGATGAGGTTTGGAAATAGTTCTTCACGTGTAAGCCTTCTACAAATTCCTTAAATCTGCGATTTTTTGGAAGAAAAATCTATCGAGTTTTTCCCAAGCATTTCCCCAGAGGCTCTTTAAATTTGTAATTACAAACCCTGTGGGGTAGGCAAAAGTCAGACTTGTCAGATTTTAATAAAATGATCGAGGCAACGATCTCTCTTTCCTCTTACTGTCTACATTTTAATTTTTCCATAAGAGGCAGTAATAGTGCAAGCTGTTAGAAGTACCACTGTGCGCTTTCCCACCCCCTAAGCTCTTATATATGTCGCTTAAGCCGTATGTGAACGCGTTCAAAGTCTCTTCAATGAATGGAAATAGTACGTCTACTTTTTTTATAAGTAATGAACTATTTATGTGTTTACGTGAGAGTCCACAGGTTTCAAGTTGGTGTTCTTTCTCTACCATCCAATAATTTTTTAGCTGAAATTCACGCCTTCAAATACTTATAAATAATCTGCTTTTTTTGCCCATTGAAATGATTTTTTACTGATAAAATTTAATACCAAATGATACCAAACGTGCCTTAGGCGTAACGAAATTTAGGTTTTTGGTTTCAGAGACATTTTAGAGGAATTTTCAAAAAAAAAGATAATTCTTATCTTTTTGCCAGAGATCACTTAAGGATAATGTAATAATTCTAATGGTTAGGCTTATTGCCTTCAAGCGACATCATTTGGTATTAAGCCAAACCTATGGCATTTGAACTGGCTACAGTGGAAAAACTAGTAGTGGTGCAGCCTATTAGGAGTACCACTAAGATCTTACGTATATCATTGAATCGTCGATGCGTGCAAAGTCTCTTTTCAATTAATCAAAATAGTACGCCAATTTTTTTATAAGCAAAAGATAAAATCCGGTTTTTCATTCATCAATCTTTGCTTATTTCTTTGTATTTTTATAAATTTTTAGTAAAGTATTTTTGTATCCTTTAATATTTCACTCAAACTTATCATTTTGTTATCACTATTATTTATCATTTTGTCATTTTTATTTATCATTTTTACATTTTTATTATATTTTATGCAATAAAATAACAAAATATTAATGGTGTGGAATTTAGTTTCGAAGCCAAGCATTGTGGATTCGATTTTTAACTCTTAACAGGAGTAAACCTATCATTAAAAAAAACGAAATCTGATAAGTGAATGAGGAATTGTTTTTCGAAAAGTGCTCATTATCTTTACTAGTTCCACTCTACCGGAGAGAAATTTTTCTAGGATTTCTTTATTTGGTGATTTATTCATGCAGCGAGTAGAGAATATTCTATCACCAATGCTCGAAATGAGAGCAACTAAATTATTCTACCGGTGACATATCTCTATTTTTATCTCCAAATGGATCTCTGACGAAGCGATCTCTTTCCGTAATAGGCATTGGTGTCAGCCAAACCAGAAATGATGGATACTATTAGTGGAAAAATTTTCTCTAAAATTTATCGTTTTTTCCAGGACATTTTCAGAGATGCATTATTACTATCTTATAGTCTTTCTTGTTCCATCTTTTGCACAATGGGCACCAAACAATTTTCCCAATCCGCGACTATTGTCTGGAGTAAAATTTTGCAAAATGAGATCGATTAGCCATATTTGCGATCCGAATGAAGTATAACCTTTCATAACTTTTCTTTTGATATGATAAATGATAATTTTGTGTGATAAATTTTGTGATAAATTTTTAAAATTAGAAAATTTCTTTAAAAATCGCTAATGGTTAATCTTTTAGGTTTTTTTTTAGATATTCAAATATTTTCAGTTCTTTAAGTCTCCTTAGTTTAATTTAATTAATTGTTTTTTAAAGGTGTTATCAGAATCAGATCGATATCGTCTTAACAATATTCTTGTACGAATGAATGGTGGATCGACTGGTTCCATTAATTTTTGCGCATCAAAAGGCCTTGACGCTACACTAATTATTGTAAAGCAGGTATTCTCTCTTATTTTTCTCTTCTCAAATTTTTTCATTCCAAAAAAATTAATAATTATTTGAATATTTCGTTTTTTTTTTATCATGGTGAGGTATTTTATCATTTTAATTATTCTTAGGGAACGAAACAATTCGCTGATCAATTAAGAAATAATTGGAAATTGGATGAACAATGTAAAAAATCTGCTCTATTTTTATTATCAAGCAATGATCGCAAATTTTATTTTTCTAGTGACGCGAACTCAGTTATATGTTCGTCATTTCATTATTATAATATTATTATTATTGATTGTTATTATTTATTTTTATTATTAATATTATTACTAATTATGTTATATTGTAATTAGCCTACTAGATGTCTTCTCAGCGAAAATTTTTACTTCCCTTTTACTCAATAGACTTATGGTAGTACGGGATAGCAAGTTGTGCCTTAATCAAGCTGGATTTAGGCCGGAGCGTACCTATTCCCATTAAAAAGAGTGTTGGAAAGGAATATCGCTTCAAAGATATCTACAATTCATCGCTACGTATTTCATTGACTTTGTGGCTGCGCTCGATTCAATTAATAGAGCGGGGCTTTGGAATATAATGGAATGCGACGATGTTCCAGAGAAGATCATTCGAACCAAAAAACATTTTGCGTATATGGGAAAATGACAAACTCCTTCGAAATAAGAACTGGTGTCCATCAAGTTTGTGTCCTTTCCTCTTCAATATTCAATTATGCGATAGACTGGATAATGGATACTGATTGTCGGCACTCAGAAGGTGTCCAAATCAGTCCAGAGCATCGTATCACAGTCAATGTAAAACGAAATGTTTTCGTCTTATATGCAATAATCTGTAAAAATACCTCTTTTTATAAATCCAATGCCGGTTGAAATGCCCGATTTTAAATCCTTTGGATCCACTCTAATATCAAATGGCTAGGCAAAACACGAAATTAAAACCGGATAATGGCATCTAGAAGTGCATTCTTTCCCCCTTGACGAAACCTTTATGGAGCCGTCGTGAAATCACCACGAAAATCTGCGTCTATATAGATGCGATCCGTTCAATTTTGTTATATAGCTGCGAAATATAGCTAATGAGAGTGGAGAATATTAAGAAACTATTTGCCTTGGACAAATCATAGCTATGATATATTTTACAGAGCTGCTGAGCGGATAAAATTTCTTGATCGCATCTACCTTTGCATTCAAATACCACTTGCACTAATACCATCACAGAGCGTCGCCTTCGCTGATTAGTGCACTTCGTCTCCGTCTTTCTTCGCTGATTCTCCGTCATCCCCCACAGGAGTTGATATTTCGTTAATTGCTTAACCGTATGATGGGTGGCGTCAAAAACGAGGCCAATCAAGACCTGGGCTAATACAGTCAGGAAAATTTTTGAATGTATAGTTGGACCAGTAATATATGGACTTAGATGATGGTAAAAGGAATGGTTTCTATTACTGTCGACAAAGGCATCAAATCGCGTAGCTTGGAAACAAAAGAATATGATTAGGGTGAGGAAAGCTGTTAGAAAAAGAAAGATATTAATTTTATTAGTTATATTAATTATCCTAACATTATAACAGTTTAATTCTACTACTGTGCTTAAGCAGAGTTCAAGTTTAATAAATGATAAATGCAATATTTCGATATATCAAGATATTTTTTTTTTAATTTTCTTTTTTTATCAGAATTATGCAAATTGAATTATCAAAAAAATCGCAAAGGCAAAAAAACAACGTTTATTAAAAGTTTTATATTTAGCATTTATTTTTATGCAAATTTTTTTTTAATTTTTTCGATTTTTTCAGCAGAAAACGATTTTTTCACCATTCTCAGTGCTAATCAGAAGCAACTCGATGAAGGACAATTTACATCAGCATTATTGAATATTTTCAAACAAATTCAAGAAAATATTGCTGAAGCAAATCGAGGTAAATGAACTTTTCAAGGATTGTTCAACATTTCTGAGATTTTTTCGATAGATTGTCATTCAATAAGAAAAATACAAATAAATCGTCAGCATCAAGCATGAATCACTTGATATTTCTATCGCAAAGGGACTTGCTGGCATATTTGCCTAGTGCGACAAGCCAGCGGTGCAAATTCAACCAGTAATGGTGAGGACTCGTAGAAAAAAAAGCCATCCATGCATTAATATTATAATATTTGACTATTAATGAACAATATTGCTTGAATTATATGAAAAATATAGTAAAAAAATTTAAAAAAAAATGAAAGATATCTTATAATATTTAAATATAATTTATATATAAATACAATTTTTAATAGACGTTTACAATTATAAATAAATACAATACCATTTTAATAGATATTTTGCATAAAAGAAATGGGATATTTATCTAAATTTTAATATTTTGATAATTATAATTATTAAAACTCTATATTTCACTGATAATTAATCATTTTCTTTTAGGTTATCACCATCCTAATGCTCCCGGCGGCAATGGTTGCGTTTTTATTACTCCATCAAATTTTCTAACAAATTTGCTGTTTATCTTTTCAATTTGGCTTTTACTTTAGATGTACGTAATTTCCAATTTTGAAAAAATAATTTCATTTTAGCATTTATTACTGGTTTTATATCATTAAATCTGTGTTTTAACTGTTTGCGATGATGTCTTTTATGTTTAATATTTTTTTTCATTGCCATTATTTCCTCCTATAAACATATTAAATAATCGCAAATCGCAAATTGATTTAATTTAATATTAAAAATAATTATAATTTTTTTCTTTTATTCTTCATCGAAGAATTCCATTAAATAAAATTTTGAACTTGATAAGTTGAAATTTTTCAAAATTTTCTTCATAATTTTACGATTTTTTTTCATATTTTAAAATCATTCATTATGAACGAATTTCTCAAAAACTGTCAAAAAAACGAAAATTTAACCGACATTAATTTTTCAGCTTAACAGATTTACAATTTATTCCGATTATTATTGTGTATTTTATTTTTATGAAATCTATGAAAATATTTGCGAAAATAAAAATTTCATTTAAACCTTATAAAATAATTTTTTTTTTTAAACATAAAATATTTTTTTTATAAATCGCTGCGAAACATTTCATTAGAATTATAATATAGAATTATTTAGCGTTAAAATTCAAAAAATTTAATTAAAACCATAAAATATTTTTATTCACAAAGCACTTCGCTAAAAATTGTCGTAAAATAAAATAATCAAAAAATTTTCTGAAGAAATCGATTTACACATAGTTATAATTTATAGATCATAAATAAACGCAAATATTCCTTCTTTATTCCTATTTTAGTGGCAGCAATGAATAAATTACATCGAAAAAATTATCCTAAAGGATATTAATTAAAAACAAAAGAAACTTCTTTTAAGAGATACATGGCGAAAAAAATATGAATGAATGAACGAAGGAGATGAGGAAAAAATTACTACTACAAATTTTTCCAATTTTTCCAAACCACTAAATTAATTAAATTAGATCGTTCTTAAAAAATATGATGAATTGATGGAATATAAAAAAATATATGGAACAATTTTTTAGAAATGCTCAGCATATTTTAATAAATAAATAACTAGAAAGACAAAAAATCGAAACAATTGTAAAAAAAAATCGAAAATCACATTCATTTAAATTATATACATAATTTTATTCATAAATATTTGCTGATTATATAAACTGTCTGTCATCTTTCGAAAAAGAAATATATGACGTTTCCTTAAAAAAATTATCATTATTACTATGAAATTAACCGAAAGATTTGCGAACACATATGATTTTTTGATGACAACACTCGGTAAGGAAAAAATCAGGCAACACAATAAAAAAAATCAAGACAACACAAAATAAAACCAGAAACGTACTTGGGCGTACGGTAAGAGAAAACCAATAAATAAAAATACAAGGAAAAAATCTGGTAGGGAACCGCAGTCAATATAGCCACAATGCGAAAAAAAATTAGCAAAAATAATTGTAAACTTGTGTTTCTAAGAAATAAAATCAAAAAATTCCATTACAAAAAAAATTAAATTCAAGGCGCAGCTAAAACTGTGGCAATTTATTCCCTACAAAAAACCGTACAAAGATATAAGACCGAATCCCAAATTTAAGAAAGACGAAAAAAACAACCAGCGAAATCTATGAAAAAAACTAATTAGGTTGCAACCTCATAAGCGTTACAGCCAAAAAATTCCAAGGATGATCATTAGTTTGCTCTTATACTATTGGATTCTTGAAAAGTTTTAGGCGCGTCGATACCGACAACATTTGGAGCTATTTGCAAATGCTTCTTTAAATCTGCAGCAAACACCAGGGGTTCGATCTGAGCTCGTTCTAAAATTTACCCTTTATTATAAAATTCTAATTCTAATTTGATAATAAACATAAAACCTTTTAAAACTTAAAAACATCTCTTTTAGAAGATGATTCTCGAATCTTGCGATATTCTATGGCAATTTGTTATTTTTTAAATTATTTTGATCAGCTTAAACGAAGATGAACTAAAAGTTGCCATGAAATACCTACCGCAAGATTTCAACAGTTGTTGAAAGCTATATGAATTGATATCAACAAACTGATTAGTCCACCAATGATTTTTAATATCTTTTATTGTAGCACGTAAAGATGGGTCCCGCTGCAGTAACCAAGAAATGACCTGATAAAGGCCTAAAATAAAAAATAGCTGGTTTAAATCAGCTATAAACAAAATAAAATTAGAAAAATGGAAAAATAGAGCTTAAAATTAATCCCTAAGAGCTTTGTAATCAAACAATAAAATTCTAGTAAATAAATAAGTTATCAAAGGAATTTACCATAAATTAAGATGTAGTCGATAAAATATAACCTTCAGAGACATCCCAAGGAAATTCCACAGTGCCATGAACAATTTCTTGAGGATTTCTGAATGGATTTTCAAAAAAAACTAGCGTATACAAAAGTACTCCCAATGACCACATCTCTAGTTCTGGCCCATAATATCTGAAAAAAAAAATGGGGAATGTAGGTTCGCGAAAACATTTAATGGTTTATTTTCTGATGATAATAAAATGAAAAACAATAAAAAATAAACCTTCTTCCACTTAATACCTCGGGACTACAATATTCCATTGTACCACAGAAAGTAGAAAATACAATATTTTCACCAAAGTAAGCTGCGGAACCAAAATCAATCAATTTACAAGAAAAAGTTCTGTCAATGATCACATTTTCATCTTTAACATCACGATGAACAACATTATTGGAATGCAAATAAGCGACCGCGCTAATTACCTAGAAAATTTTCAAAGAATTATACGCAGTTACTTGTAATGAACGAAAAATTATTCGAATTATTTGATTATTTAATTATTATAATTAAACATTTATCAATAAAGGAATGAATGAAATAGATTTCATGAAAATAAGCAATAATCCTATTTTGCCATACTTTTCAGCGATTCTTTTAAAAAATGCAAAAATTAAATATTTTGATCAAACAATGCAGGACAATCGAGTACAATCAATATTTTGAGAATCAACGATTTGGTTTCTGCTTTCGATATGAATAAATCAGTCATTTAAAGAGACTAGGTTGGAAATCCACCTATATTTCTATTGATAAGTACTTCCTGTCAAAATTTCTACCAGTAATAATAGCCAGCGGAAGACAACCAGAAATGGTATGCGTTAACCATTTATTTAATTCTACTTAGATTAACCAGTCTAAGTACAGAATAGGATAGCTCAATGAGTTGTTGCCCAATTCTGAGTACCGATTCTGAGTTTCTATTCCCACAGGATAGTAAAACTATCCAAAAATCCGGATGACTCACCTATCATCCTATCGCCAAGGGACTCTATGGCATATTTGTCCAGTGCGACAAGCCAACGGAATGAGTTTAACCAATAATGGTGAGGATTCTTAAAAATAAAACCTGTCTAAAAATGTGACTGATTAAAGCTTCATCTAATTTTGGTTGATGCTCAATGAATTCGAAAAGATCCATGCCACATCCGAGCTTTTCCATAACTAGCTGATAAAATATATCATTCTCGAAAACATCTAACACCTGAAAAGAATGAAAAAATAAATAAATAAAAAAATAATATCAAATAAAAATCGATTAACAAAGAGGTCTTGAAAAGCGAATTTAAAGTTACTTGAACAATATTTGGATGTGATAACGTTTCCAGCAGATGCAGTTCGATTGGAACCATTTTATTGCCACGTTTCGAACTCTTAACCCAACTTTCAGGAAGAACTTTCGTTTTGCAAATAAATTTAGTAACAGCCTGAAGATGAGAACTGCTTTTAAAAAAGCCATTATTTTTCGAATTAACAGTGGCAAAGGAAAGAAAAAAGAAAAAATTAATGAAGCGATAACAAATAATAAAAATTAAAAATAAGAAAATAAGTGAAAAATTTCTGTTTAAAGTATATGCACATTCACACCATGTAAGAAAGGAATAAAATTGCCTTACCAATAAACCTGAATCTTTGCGAGCTGCCAATTTAACTGAACCAAAAGTACCATTTCCAATCAAATGGAAAGTTTCATACTGATTAGAATATTCGCCAAAAACTGCATCAGAATTTTGTTTATCGGAATTTTGTGAAGTTACTTCTACCTCAAATTAATTGTTGAAAATCTATTAAAACGAAAAAAATTATCAATTCATTTTATGAAAAAGCAAATTTTCACCAAAAATTTTAAATTAATAAAGTAATTCAGCCAAAAAATACTAAACAATTTCTCTTTTTATTCAATAATATTCAATAGTAATCAAAAGTAATAGTAAAGCAGTAATCTTCAAAGCTCTCAAATAGTTTTGGAAGATATACCGATGCCGATCTATTACGCTCCTTTCCAGATTTTGAACTAATAGAAGAACCAATTTTATTCCCATTGGTTTTTTGATTTCCATCAGAGAATTTCCTTTCAGCTTTTGAAAACAGCCCGTAATCACTATTACCATCAAAGCCAATACAAACTGCCCAGTTTGCAGGATAAGACGATTTTAGTCGACGTACATCAAAGCGGACAGCTAAAAATTTATTTTTAACCTAAGAACGTGTAAACATAAGAATAACACAATAAAAATACAAATAATAATAATGACATAAATATTTACTAAAATGTACAAAATATTAGTTTAATAAATCAAATCAAACCGATCAAATTGCTATCAGAATGCCTAGCAAGTCCAAAGAAATTTCCTTCGCATATTACACGATAGGATTTTTCGCCAACTTGTTTACCGTTCTCATATCCCTCACTTCCAAGATTCCGCTTACATTTTTGTTCAAAATGACTAAATTTAAAATTTTATAAAGCGAGAAAAATCTAAAATTTATTTAGCTTTGAAAGACTCAATTTATATAATTTCAAAACGTTAAAAATAGAAGTAAAATAAGGAAAAATTATGGAATTTATTAATCGTTTGCCAAAAAAATGAAATAAATACCTCGTTGAAGGTTGAGTGGAACAGACTTCATTCAGAAAATCAGATGTTTTATTAATATTATTTATATTATTGATCAATAAGTCATCAAAATCAAAATTTAAATTATCCATAACCGTTTTTGGTACATCATTCTCTGAAATGGAAACAATAGTGGGAGAATATCTTAGTTGATAAGTTTAAAGAATATTTTGCAAAAAATAAATATTACTTATGATGTAAAAATATTTCAAATAAATTACGCTTTGCATATCCATTAGCGTTAGCAGAATCCATGTTATTATCATTTGGTGCAAAGATAGTACCAACAGATTGAATAATATATGAATAGAAATCAGGAATAAGATCAGTAATGAACTGAAAAATAATACCTTAGTGATAAATAATTTTATAGTTCAATTTAATGATTATAAAGTTCATCGGTGCTATTAATAAATAATAAACACGATATACTATTTTAAACTGATTAAAGTCAATTTTAATAAGAGAAAAAAAAACTAACAATAAACTTATTTTCCGCTTGTTCCTTAATTTGCTTCCCGACTAGAGCCTCAATAAAATTACCATTGAAACTATGCAACATGCCGGAATCAGTTAACGTCAATACACCATTTAGTGTTAATAGTGCACGAATTTGTAGATTATACATGAGGACATCAAGAGCTACAAAAAACTTCATTATTGCATTCTAAAGAAAAAACTAAAGTAAAAAAACTAAAAAAACTAAACTAAAAAAATTACTGCATAAAATATTTTACAATATATGTTTAACATCAAAAGAAAAAAACATAGAATTTAAAAAACGTGCAGAAAATTTTACGAAAATTTTCTTCCTTTCCAACAGTTTTAAAGCAATAGACCAATTATGATTTTTTCTGGTTTTTAATTCTAATTTTTCACAACGAATTTTCAATTTTTCACTAATACTTGTTTCATTTATTTATTTATAAACAAAAGAAATAAAATTTATTATTAAAAATGTTTTTAAAAATTCTGATCTTTAATTTATCACATATTTTAATATTTGAATTCTCAGTAAGCTGATTTGATTACAGCTGGAGGTCCTTACTGAAAGAAGAGATAAGAGACAACTAGTAAAGATATCCAAAAAATATCAAATTATAATAAAAATATAACTTCCAAAGAGCAAAAAAAGCAAAAGCCTCATTGCATATTCAAGATCATAAATAATAATTTGAAATTTCGAATGAACTGTGTAAAATTTAACTGTAAAAATTTGTTGACAATGGCAATGAATCTAAACAATGATAGATCGATCATATGATTATAGCCACAAAACAAATTATAAAAACTAGTTAAGATAATACATTGATAAATGATGAAAGCATATTATGCTTGCTCATTATTTTCAAATGGAAATAAATCAAAAAATAAAAAATAAGACCAATTAAAAAAGCATAAAAAATAAGCGATCCGTTGAAAACGAAAAAAAATTTGTGTAAAAAAATGGTTTTTAACGCATTTTCATTTATAATTGAAATAATTAATGAAAAATTAATATTCATACTCTTTGTTTAGAGCGATAATAAATATACATCAAATAGTTAAGGATAAATTAGCAAATTAGCTAAGAAAACTCCAGAATTAGTAATAGTTATTAAAGATATAATTTGCTAAAAAAATGTATATTTCAGAATTACGAATCTTAAGGCAATATATATAATACAGCAGAAAAACACGAAAAAAACTATCAATAAAAAAGTATTAACCTAAAATTTAATATATATACATATATATATATAGTTAATAATATATATATATATATATATTAGTTAATCAACAGTGAATTGATTTAATGAAATCCTCAATTGTCGATCAAAAAGTAGAAAAACAAATAAATAAGTATTCGAAATCGAAAACACTTACTACGTGGATCTTTTTCAGCAGCAACTCTTACAGTGATTGGAATAGAATTATTACGCAAGCCTCGAGCACAGACATATTGTAGTTCTTCTGAATCTAACTAAAATTACCAATTATAAATAATTAATGCAAAACAATTTATTCAAAAAATTTAAGCAAAAGCATATTTAACCATTTAATAATTCTTAAAATAAAATGTCCCTTTCTTAATATCAGCAGACAAAAAATATGCTTCATTTTGAAATTTTATGATATGATAATAACCCCTAGTTTTGAAATGAAATTATGAATTTTTCATGACGAATAAAAAATTTTTTTTGACGTCGAAAAATTTATTAGCTCGTTTTAACGCCTATTTTTGTTAGATAACTAAATATCATTATCATTAATTTAAATTTTTTGCTTCACACTTTCAATTCGTTCTATTTTACAAAAATTAGTGATCGTAAATTCTACAATATATTTTTATAAATGATCAAAAAGACAGGAATTTTGCTTCTGACAACAGTAAAACATATCAAAAACCAGGATGGTGCAGCCAACCTGTATTTATATTTCTAAGCGATTTACCGGTTATTATTCACCAAAATAACTAGAGGAACGAGCTTAATCAGAAACGATGGGCGCCAAATTCCTTACTTAAATGACCAAAATGATCAAAAGCAACTAGGTCAAAATTTGATTTTCTGATGTTTGCCACCAATATATTCAATAAATAAATCCATTAGTACAATAAATAAATATTAAAAAGCACCAACTTTAATCGCTGGAATTATATTAGTTATTTCTATTCCAAGAAGTTCACGCATTGAAGCATATCCTAAAATTGGTGCCATGCTATCGTCCACTCGAAATATTCGACCCTATAATATTGTTATTTACTTTTTAATAATTTTAAGTTTAATTTATAACTTATTTGAAAACAATTTAAAAAATCTAAAATTTCAAAAAAATAATTTAAAGAAAATTTAGAAACTAATTAATAATTAATTAAAAAATTTCTAAAAGAATTTCTAAGATTCTACAGTTCGCTTCATGAATAGATCTCATTTTTGATAATTAGGCAAATTTTTTTCAACAAAATGAATCAGCATGAATGATTCAAAATAAATATTCACCTTAGGACCAAGTGTACAGTCCACTGAGATTGTATTAATAGGTTCCATTAAGATTAACCAACGATGCTGCGGACAGTGTTCATCATCAAAAAAATCACTAATTATGCTACTGCTATCACGACCATCATCATCGTCGTCACCATTACTGGATTCTTCTTCTCCATCAACAGTATCATTGACATTTTTCACATCAGTAGTTGAAACTAAAAAAAAAAATGAACTGAAATTTCCTGTTGTATGATTATAAAAAAAGTTGATGCGAATCTAGGAAAAATAAGAAAAATAAGATTTTTAATCGACATTGGGCTAATATAAAAAGTTGTTTCATTCCATGAACTTGTTTATTGGAAAATTTTTTGATCAACAATCGCTAAAAACAGTTTATTATAAAAATAGCTTACATGCCATTCACACACAGACATACACAAAGTAAGACAGGTAAATGATCAAAATCGGACAAGTCATATTTCTTATTTCATCTTCCTCATCAAACTGTTATTAAATTTAGAAAAAATTGTCACATGAAAATCGCATGAAAATTTTCAGAATTAAAAATTTTCAAAATGTTTATTACTACTAAATTTTTAAAAAATGAAAAAAAGAAGTCAAATCTATTTCAAATCTATTTTTTAGTTTAAAAATCAATGAAGAAAGAAAGTATTTTCAAAATTTTCGCGATAATTTTTCAATGTTTAAATAAATTTGAATTTAAAAAAAAAAATAGATAAACGAAATATTTCCTTCAAAACCGCCATGTCATATATGTCGAATCATATTTGTTGTTCACTAAATATTTTCATATTCACGTAGCCTTTCCGCTTATATCCATCTCATTTTCAGTTTTTTCGAAAATTTTTAAAAATTCTCGCCAACTCGCTTATTGCTCTTATAACTAAACTGGTTATTTTTCTCAGAATCTCTTCTTTACCTTTCTAGATTCTATTTGCAATTTCTTAATGTAAGCTTTAATTGTTCGTAACTGTAAAGTGGAATTTAGTTTTCTCATCGATTTTCTTAGATTTAAAGAATCTCTATGAATATAAACCGCAAATCCCGATAAAAATTTTAATCACATTCAAGAGAAAAGAAAAAAAGAGTAGTAAGAAAAAATTCTCGACAATTTTACAATTTTTTTCTTTTTTCGACAAGAATTCTAAAAATATTCTTTGACATATCGGAAACCTAAAAAAATATTCAATTTCTAAATTTTTTAGCGATTTTTCGAGGCAATTCTGACAACCATAAATCAGTGAAATTAGAGCAAAATTTAAATAAACAATTATTTAATATTTAAAATCTATTTCATTACTTAAATCAATTTTTTCATTAATTAGTTATTCAATTTTTTTGCAAAAAAAATGTTGACGATCAACAAATGAGAGATTAGCCTTTAAGAATTTTAATCGAAGAATTTAACAATCAACATAACGTGAATACTGGAAAACTAGTAGTAATACGCTAAGTTAATTTTATGAATTTCATTACAAGAAAAGGCTTAACGATAAAAGAAACCTGTTTGTAAATTTTGTGCATGGTAGTGATCTAGAACCGAGTCTTTTAGCGGACTTGTTCCACCTTCTACCATTTCTGGCTCGTTTTTTGAAAATATTTTTTCCAGCACCAATTAATCGACTAGTTGTCAATACTGTTAATCTGTAAAATTATTTATTATTAAAAATAGATTCTTAGAGGAGGGTTAATCTTGAACGACGTTATTCAGTTCAATCGAACTGCTTAATATTTTTCAATCCACTAAAAAACCCATAAATCGCGAAGCTTTAATTTTGGATTTTACTGCACCATAGACCGCCTCATTCGCTGCGTAAATCTTTTTGTAAAAAAAAAAAGATCATAAGGAAAATACGAAATTTGGGATCGTTGCAAGGGGATTTTTGAAATTCCTCAAAGATCAGTTGTATCAGTTGTTTTTTTTTTAAATATTAATACATCCATAGCAACACTTCATTGCACTCTTTTACAATCGATTATTGAAGTCACCTTAACTTTCTTTATGAAGAATCCTATTATTATTAAACTTCGTTAGGCTCTCTCTGTATATAGAAACTCGCTATACGCTTTCTTCCGTCACCGCAAAGATGAACTGTAAAACAGAAAAGAAGATGAGAGATACTGAGAAATTTGAAGGCATACTGCAAAGAAGATTTGACCGGCCTGGATGTTATGTTTCGATTCCGTAGGAAAAGATTCTTCAATATAAGAAAATAATGGTGATGGAACTAAAACATAAAGATGAACGAATAAAAAGAAGAACACAAAAACAAAGACGCTCAGATTGGCCTAGGCAAGGTAGTCAACACAGTCGACAAAGCAGTAATGACCTAGAAAATGAACTTATTTATTAAAGGAACCACGTAAGCCGTATACGAAAGCCGTAGATCCAACGTATACGGACAAGAGAACGACCAAAACCCCATCGCACACCAAACAACAATCACACATTCCATTCCATTCACCTGATCAGTCAAGTGACTGCACTTGACCCAAATCGGTAGGGCCGCAAAATAGACATCCTAAATATTTACGGATGAGATACGCAGCTGCGGCTTGTTAGGGAAAAAAAACGGTATTCATAAGATGACAACAGACAGAGAAATTCAGTTGCCAATTAAGAAAATAAATAATAAATAAAAATTTTATGAAAAATCGAAATTGAAAAGAAAAATAATAAAAAATAAAAGAAAAAATGATATAAAAAACAAAATTAGAAAGCCAAAATAGAGATGAAAAATAAATTAATTGATTAAATGAACGCGAATTTAAAAAATTTTAGAATAATAAAAATCAAATCTAAATAAAAATTTCAGAAAAAGGTCAACGAATGTCAAAGGTCAAAGCGAAGGTCAAAACGGATATCACTCATTTCCAACTATAGAATTTAGGCGACAAACTTTTTCTCGAATTCGAATTATTGATTTAAGATAGACATAAAGAAATGAAATAGACATAAAAATAAATATAAGCCAACTCACCACTTTTCTATCTCTAAAAAAAAGCATATCACGTGAAAAAATTCAAATGAGCACGTGCGAGCTTAATATGACGTAATCGTTTTTGCGTGGAAAAACTCACGTCATAAGAAAAATAATAAAAAAAATAATAAGCTGAATGAAAAATTAACTGGTAGCACGTATAATAGAAAAAGTACCGCAAATGGGATCTCCATAAGGGGGATTCCTATAATTGGTGAAATGACAAAGAAGACCGTTCAAATTTTGGATAAAATCTGAAATAATAGTAATAAATTTTTATAAAAATTTTTGTCGGGGAGTCATTTGGCGTTAGAAATATAAAATCGGTCGCTATCAACTAAATTTTTCAACTTCTGTCAGAAATTATTTATTATTTTATTATTATCAATATTAACATCATTATTATTATTATTATTATTATTATTATTATTATTATTATTGCCTTTATTTATAATGATCATTATTTATTTTATTAATTTAACTTTTCAAAATTTTCAATAATAAATTTATCCAATAAATTTATATAAAACTTATAAAATAAATTAAAAAATTTATAAAATTTATAAAATTTAATAAACGATAAATAATATTTTAAATTTAAAAAAATTTAAAAGAAGTATAAAAGAAAAGAAGTATAAATTCAGTATTTATAAGTATAAGTAAATGTATAATATATTTAACAATAAAAAAAAAGGTAGAATTTATTCGATGCAAAAATTTTTAAGAAAAAAAATTTCATAAAAAAAAGTCCTTGAAGTGGATAATTAAAGTTTAACATATACTTTATGTTTACGCTTATCGTCCGCCACCTTACGTGAAAGAATGATAAATTAGTTCTCATCAAAGCAGCGAAAGAATAAATCCTTTTTAAATAATTCTAATTTCGAAAAAATGACTCGAGTGGTACCAAATAAAAAAAAATAATTCGTCTTAATTGCCGAATTTTTCAAAAAATTTAAAATTAAATTCAAAAAAATTTATAAATTCCTAAATTTAAAAAAATAGCGACCAAATCATATGGATTATTTTAATGGATAAGTAAAATAAGTAAGTGGTTAGCACTTATCATTAATTTGGTTAGTTCCATAGGCTATTAATATATTTAGAAATTTTCGCGTTAATTTTGGGATATATCGGATGCCAACTATTTAAAATATTCACTCAGATAAAAGAAGCAAATCGTTATCACCTCTTTTAGCCAAAAATTATCCTTATCACTATACCGTATAAATATTTATTGATAATTTTATCCAAACGACGAATTAATAAAATATGAAATTTTTACTGTCATTCGATTTTCTTTTTTCTTTCTTTTTCATTTATTAAGTCGACAAATAATTTTATTGGAATAAAAAAAAAAAATAATTGAATTATCCAAGAAAATAATTTAAAATATTTATATTTCACTAAAAAACTAAATTTCGAAATAAATAAAATAATTTTATATGGAATTTTTAGTGGAAAAATTACTAAAAAGGCTAAGGCTGTAAATGTATGCAAAAAAAAAAAATATAAAACTATTCTCATACATTTTAGATTTGATGGGAGAGTAGAATGGCTCAGTGGGGTTGTTGCTCAATTCGGAGCGCCAATGCCGAGGTTCTATTCTGCGAGTAAAGGAGTAAAACCCGAGTGATGCTGGCGACTCACCTGCACTTCTATCGCTTATCGCTAACGAACTCTCTAAAGGTGCATTTGTCTAGCACAGGTTGGACCAGCGGAGCGACTCGAATCAGCTGTGGTGAGAGTTCGTAAATTTGCAAAAATTAAATAAAAGTCCACCGCAAGTGTTCTAATTCTATTCAATTTATGTGAATAGCAAAACGACACACTTTAAACGACAATTTAAAACGAACCTTTATTTATGGGACGTTTCTAAGCAAAACTTTATGCGGCATTTCTCGTTTTAGGCGAAAAGATTAAAAACCAGAAAATATTAAAAATTTTATTAATGGAAATTTAAAAGATTCGAAATTTTAATAAAATAAAATAATATTTTAAAAATATTAAAATTTTAAAATAAATTTTTAATTTTTCGTTAAAATAATTAAAATGATAAGAAAAAATAATTGGCGCAACCACACTATTTCATTGTTTTAACCTCGTTGCACTATGAGCTATTAATAGAAATTTTTTATTAGAGAATATCATATCATCTGATAATATAGAAATACAAATAGATCATTAGCGGTGATCGAATTTTTTAACGATAGATTTATTCTTGTTGAGGGCAACGATAAAATTCTTGTTCACCAATAAAATAATCTATTTGGTGGCCTATCGTGCCCGTCAACAAAATATTATTTATTATTGAAATCATTAAACTTCTATTCTCCACATTCAAATTCAAATTCGAAAAAAATGAACGAATTA